TGTTTCATTATTTCCTGCTGCCCCTTCGTTTGTCATGTGGGCCAGCTTAAACTTGGCATCTCAGGGATGGGAGTTCTCCAGTCGAGAGGAAAATACAGTCTCCACTTGACTGGATGGGAACAGGCTCTGGCTCCCAGTCCCCTGGGTGCCCTCTCTCACCCGCTCTCACCTTGGTCATGCTGCCATGGCCATGATGGCCTCATTGTTGTTCCATGGCTGTGCCCATATATCTCCTGCCCCAGGACCTTTGCACACCCAGGTCCCTGTGACGAGACTGGTTTTCCTGCAGATAGCCAAAGGTCCCCTCCAGAATTCCTGGGGCTCCTTGTCCTGAGTCTCTTTCCTCATGGTTGCTGTACACCTGCTCTTTTTTTTTTTTAAGATTTATTTTTATTACAAAATCAGATATACAGAGAGGAGGAGAGACAGAGAGGAAGATCTTTCGTCCAATGATTCACTCCCCAAATGAGCGCAACAGCCGGTGCTATGCCAATCCAGAGCCAAAAGCCCGGAGCCAGGAACCTCCTCCAGGTCTCCCGCACGGGTGCAGGGTCTCAAAGCTTTGGGAAGTCCTCGACTGCTTTCCCAGGCCACAAGCAGGGAACTGGATGGGAAGTGGAGCTGCTGGGATTAGAACCAGCGCCCATATGGGATCCTGGCGCCTTCAAGGCGAGGATTTTAGCTGCTGGGCCACGCCGCCGGGCCTACCTGCTCTCATAAAAATGACTGAGAATTGAGTGTTATTTGCATTGATGCTGTCCCCTTTTAAAACTGTTTTCCAACCTCATTTTTTCAACTTTTCTTTGGGACTGTTATCTTTTTCTTTTTTATGTATTTATATTTGTGGCATACTTTTAAACTTTTCATGATACTGTTCCATAAACACAGGGATTTCCCTTTGTATCCTTCCAGCCGGCTTCCTACCATTACCCCCATATTATTACAGTAGTGTAGTCTTTAAGCAATAGTTGAAGTCATCATTCTGCTATTTAAGGTATCATGGTATTGCAGGGATAGACAATGGTACACAGTCCAGCATCCTATTGTCAAGATACGTTTAAAGGTTTCACTGGGAGTCCTCCTTTTATTTGGGAGTCGAGATGCCTGCTGCAATGTATCTTCACTTCCGGGTAGGCTGGTCTCCCTTATACAGTTTCTCTAGGAGAATATATGTATATATACATGTGTATATATATATATGTATACAAATGGTAGAGCTTCATTCTTTTTAATGGCTGAGTAGTATTCCAGGGAGTAGATATACTACAGTTTCTTTATCCGTTCTTGTTTTGACAGGCAGCTGAGTTGTTTCCATGTGTTTGTTACTGTAGATGCTTCTGCTGTAAATATAGGCTTGCAGGTCTTTTTCTTGTAGGCAGATTCCATTTCCTTTGGATATATTCAGTTGTTTTAACACTCTCCATACTGACTTTCATAGTGGCTGTACTGGCCTACACTCCCACCAACTCCCAGTAGAGTAGGGTAACTTTTCCTACACATTCACGCCAGCAGGTGCTGTTTGTAGATTCCTGAACGCAGGCCAATATCGCTGCAGTTAGATGGAACCTTCGTGTGCTTTGTGTTTGCATTTCCTTGATAGCTAGAGAGCCTGAGCATTTGTGTGTGTATTAGCCATTTGAATTTGTTCTTTTAAAAAATGCCTGCTTATTTCCTTTTCCCATTTCTCCACAAGATTGTTTGAGTATTTTTTGTTTTGTTTTTTTTAAAATGATGATTGTTTGAAAAACTAAAGAGTCCTGTATCTTTCAGCAGGTGTTACAAATATATTTTTTTCCACGTTGGCCTTTAGACTTACTCAGGAAATTTTGTTTTGTGAACCCTTTTCTTTGGGTGTCATATGTAAGTTTTTTTTTTTTTAAAGAAAGTGGAGTTAAACTTATCTAATTTTTTCTTTTTTGCTTCTGAGTTTGCCTTTTGAAATATTTTTTCAGACTTCCAGAAAATAAAGGCATTTATGTAGTTATCTGAAATTTTTCTTTTTAACATCCTTTATTTTACATAGTTCAGGTTTTGGAAATTTCCATTGCAAAACCAATAGGAAGCGTATCTTGTAATATAAAGTTCTTATTTTTATTAACATGGCAATGACAAGAAAGCGATTTATCTTGGAACACCAAATATGCTAGAGTTGATCTTCTCAAACTTCAGTCTGTCTCCTTCGTCTTTGCAACTTCAGCATCAGGAGGCGTGTAACCCGTGGTTATGACACCTGCATGCCTCGTCCCAGTGCTGCATCGGATTCTTAGCTTCCTGCCAGTGCAGACCCTGGGAAACAGCAGTGATAATTCAGATAACTGAGTTCCGGCCACCCACATGGGAAACCTGGATTAACTTTCAGGACTGAAATGTCCCCCAAATGAAGGGACTTCTGTTTCCTTCCTCTCAAATAAATAATTAAAATTACAATAAAAAATTAAACATCATGACAGTATTCCAGGAGCATATGCTGTTTGTAGGGGAAGTGAGAATTGAATGATGCTTACAGCTATAATGTGTGGAACACCTGCTCAGTGCCAGGAGCTGTGTCTCATTCATTGTCTTATTTTAGCCTCATCTGATAGGAATTAAAATCACTCTTTGTTTTACAAGATGAGCCTGACACTTTAGCGACCATGTATAGATGATGGGTCAACATGGTCCCAGGATTTGAGTCCATGTCTAAAGTCTATAGGTCCATTTCTTTTTCATTAATTTTATGCATTTCTTTTATCTGAAAGGAAGAGTTACACCAAGAGAAGGAAAGACAGAAAGAGACTTTGCTCCTGCCGCTTCACTCCCCAAATGGCTGGGCAGGTCTGAACTTCTTCTAGGTCTCCCACGTAGCTGCAGAGGCCCAAGCACTTTGGCCATCCTCTGCTGTTTTCCCAGGTGCATTAGAAGAGAGTTGGATTTGAAGTGGAACAGCCAGAACATGAACCAAACCAGCGTCCATATGGGATGCTAATACCACAGGCTTAACCTGCTACACCATAGCAGTGGTCTCTATAAACCCATTTTTACCCAGATAGACGCAAACAGAAAGCTAAGGCTTATTGAGAGCTAAATCCCTTTTACATATATCTAAGGGAGACTACTCAAAGAAGTTCACAGACAAAACAAATGCAAACAAAATGTTCATTGATCAGAAACTTTTTGAAGCCATGCGTAGATTTTTCAGAATGTGTATTTCTGGTGAACTTTATGAAGACTCCTAGTAACTGCTCTGAAAAGGAGCTTGTCCACTCTCTCAGTACCTGCACTCCTAGACAGCCCTTGGTTCCTCATCAATGTCCTCCCAATTGCCAAAGGCAAGGGCTTATATTCAGCGCCTTCGCCACTCAGCCTCTGAGACGGATAACCGTTACAACAACAGCCTTCCCCTGGGATGTGTTGGTCCCCAGCTTGCCTGATGTTGTACTCTGCTGGTTCTTCTCCCTTCCCGTAATACCTCCACGCCATGAATTAAAAAGATAAGACCCCACAAGCATCAGTTGTGTACAGAGTGCTCAGTGATTTTGTTACTCCTGTACTTGTCACTTGCTCTGGCCCTAACCTGGAGTCCCAGCGCCTCCTCCGGGTCATCATATCCAAAATGGAGATGCTTGTCTTTCTGAGTCTTCCTGGTTTCTCTGTCTCCATGGTTGACATAGCTGCACTCTCTGTCATCCCCTGTTCTTGACTTTCCCCACCCATGACCCACTCCTTTCTTCCATCATCAACCTGTCAACTGGACTCATCAAGTTGTTGGCCAGATCTGGCTTCAGCCAGACATGCCCCATGTTGCAGCTCAGCTCTTCAATAGCTGTGTGACTTGGAACAGATGATATAATTTCCTTGGCTTTGGATCCGTCTTCTAGAAATGGAGATAGTAATAATACCCATTTCATAGAGTCCTTGGGAAGATTCATATAATGCGAGCAAGAGATTTCTAGGGTGCATGCTACATAGTAAGTGCATAGTAAATATTAACCATCAAAATTATTGTAACTGCTGCTAATATTATATTATTAGTTTGTAGTTACCTCCTGTAGACCCTGTGGTTGAGACGTAGAGAATGTCTGAGCAAATGAGTTTTGCTGGTGAAGACCAAAGAATAAGGAACCTAAATATGAATTGCTTGTCTCATCTTGTTAAGTGGAATTAGCAGATGGATGTGGGCACTCACACATGTGTGCACCCCCTCCCCCACACACATGTACACACAGCAGCTGTAATGTTGCTGAGATCAAGGTCTTTCGGCACAGAAGGACCAGCAGGAGGGGTAAGAAATGGTGATGTTTTCTTTCTGGATTGCCTTGACCAAGCCCTGGTTTGTATTTCCTTCCATACCCTTGCATTTTCTGGGGAGAAGAGGAGAGTTGACACTACCTCCTGGCACCTTGGAATTGAAGGCCTTGCCTGACCCAGCCAACCAGGGTCTATGGTTGCCCAGTTGCAAGAAACTAAGCCAGGTCTCATGATTGGGATGTTTCTCTGTTGACTGAGTTTACAAAACTATGTTCTGTTGATCTGCAAAACAATCTCCTGATTGATTGAGAGCCAGAGGACAGCAATTTGAGGGATCTGCTGCTGTCAATATTGGTATCTCCCAGGTGATTTATAAATGGGTCATCACTTCACATCTTGTACCACATGGAACGTCTAAGGTATCTTATCTTTTCATCAGATGAGCCTGGCTAACTCCATGGGAGTGGGGTAGGGGACACGCCACATGTCACTAACCCTGCCATCTCATGCCTTTGCCATGCATCTGCTGACGGCTCGCAAAGACACCAGGGTCAACTCATAAGCCATGGCAATGAAATTTCAGGGGTCCAAAGTCATGAGAGTTTTGCCTTTTATGTTGCTCTCATTTCTGATCATTGAAACAACCTCACTGAGTTGCTGCAAAAGGAAGGGATTGGAGGAAAACCACGCCAGTTTTGTTGGATTCTGTTTGGTTTTGATTTTGGCTTCTGTTTTCCCCACCCACCATGAGTTCTTTTCTTCCCCTCTCATAGTGTGGGCGAAATGCTGAAAACTTCGACCGGTTTTTCACCCGCCATCCACCAGTCCTAACACCTCCTGACCAGGAAGTCATCAGGAATATTGACCAATCAGAATTCGAAGGATTTTCCTTTGTTAACTCTGAATTTTTAAAACCTGAAGTCAAGAGCTAAGTAGATGTGTAGACCCGCGTCCTTCGTTTCTTTCGTTCAAGCTCCACGGCTGTTGTGGTGACATTTGTTTTTTCATTGCCAAGTCGCTTCCATGTTTTGTTGTCCCATCAGGCTAGAGTGACCATGTTTCAGTGCCCAAATGTCCTCAGGTAGCCGGGAGCATCTCTGCGAGATGGGATTATGCAGATGGCCCGTGAACATGCTGCTGCATAATTGAGACATTATTCAACTCCTCTCTCGGTTTATTTTCCCCAAGCATGTCTGCTAAATAGATCCAGTGGGGAGAGAAAATGCCTGCTTTCTTTCCTCCTCTTTTGCGCTGCTGTTTTCACCCTCACCCTAATCATTCAATTTGGATTCTGCCTACCAAATGGGTAGATCATCGGAGGCTGGCAATCCTCTTCCGCTTCCAGGCCTGGGGTTTGGCGTGTGTCCAGGCTTGCTTCGGTCCATAGGGAATCCCTTCATGCTGCCCGCTCTGGAGAAGAGCGGAGCTTCGCAAAGAACATGCTAAAAATAAAATTGGGAGGGTTGGAATTTTTTTTTAACTCAAAGTTGAGAAGATTATTTAAGTCTAACATCTTAAGAGTGTGTTTTTTAGATAAGCACTATCTAAAAAACACGTCACGGTGTCCACAGGCTTAGGTGCCATGTCCACGCCATCACTTCTGATGCTGAATGGCCCTCCTCACCCTTGTCCCCAAGACTACGCGGAAAGGGCATTTGGCACTGCTCCCTGAAACAACATGGTCACTCTAGCTGCCCTCCCCCACCAAGGCTGTGATTTGACATGACATTTCAAATATAATTTGCTTTGGGTTTTTATTTCAATTGTTCCAATGGAAAAAGGAAAAAAAAAAAAAGGTTACTCATTTGGTTGCACATGCTTTCAAATACATGTCCAGTTGTGATCAGCCGTGATGATCTGCTTTGGTTTAAGCAGGAAGACAGCTGGGGATCCTAGCAGACCCATGCCTGTGGGGTTGGGCTGTGTCTAGGTCTCTTGCAGGCTTTGGAGAACTAATTAAGTGTTCTGAGAACGACACCATTTCTTGAAACAAAGACAGTGGCATTCTTCACTTTGATGTTGTTTTGCAAGATGTTGGAGGTAATGTTCATTTGTATCTGGATATCTGTTAATGTGCCATTTTTCTTCTAGCATCAAGATGCAAAGTTAAAAAAAAAGGAATGCTATCTCAAGGACAAACTCTGTTTTTGAAAAAAAAAAAATATATATATATATATATTGCCTTTCAGGCAAAAGGCATTCATTCCAGTGCATAACCTCAGCCCTAGTGTGCAGCTAGCCAGGGACCACAGGGACTGTGGAATGTTCAGGAACTCCTGGTGGACAGGATGGGGTGGGAGGATCTGGCGGAGCCTCCCATGACGTTGGAATCCAGAGCCCACGGTCCCACTAGAGTCAAGTCCAGAGACCAGCTATGACATGACTTTCTTGTTAAGATCACCTCTCCTCCCAGCTTGGATTAGATATTTTTTTCTAGCTAGCTGTTGTGAGCTCCCAAAAGTCCAAGGAAACCCCTTGGGTGGGAGAAATTTTATTTCTGTTTGAGCAGATGAACAGGTGACCCCCTCATCCTTGTTCTGGTTTCTGCTAGTCTCAGGCAGCCTTGAGTTTGAGAGGTTTCCAGAAGCTCTGGGGGCTGCTAAGATACCATGAAGATAACTTTAAAAACCTGGCAGATGCCCTTGTAGTAAGACTTTTCATCTTCAAAAAGACCATGATGGGGTTTCCACTTCCATTCATTTATTCCTCTCTGCCCTCTCATTTCACCTTGCTTCAGCTTGGGGACTGTCACTGCTGTCGCTACCATGGTGGCAATCTGAACCCAAGGTAAACTCAAGTTGAAGGAAGAAGGGAAATCGGGGCAAAAGCCCTTCCCTTCATTGTCGGGGAATGGACAACTGGAGAGAGAGAGAAAGTCATTTGTCCAGGCTTGGTCAGCCGGCATCGGGCTCCTTCTGCCCCATAAGACACAGGAGGTGTTGCTGAGTCACTGCCCACCAATAAGGGAGTTCTTAGAGGTCCTTCATCTGGTTGTAAGGTCACCAGGCTTTCCCCAGGACATGCTGCCATTGCCAGGAACGTGAGGGATGTGGCAAAGCACTGGGCTGCTGACAAATGACCAGAAGCACATCATGGAACAATGTCAGATGGATGGATGAATGTTAGATAGTTGACAGGTGATGGATAATAAAGGTAGAGATATGATAGAATATAGTACATATGTATATATTTACTGCACTCTACATTTACCTGATTCTTGCCCATATTTTTCCAAAGTCAATAGTTGCCAGAAGCAGATACCCAAGCCAAGGTGTGTTTTCCCAGCCTACGTTGCTGAGGCTCACTCAGAGCAGCCTGCTGCGTAGATCAGGAATCCTCATGGAGAATTCCAAACCTTTCCTTCTCTGGCGACATTTCCAGTACAGAGGAGACTGAGAATCGGAGCTTCCATCCTGTGTCACCTGCAGGCAATACCTTGAAAATATAACCAGGAAGGACTATTCCTACATGCTTCTTGCAATCATCCCTTTATCGGACCCTCCATTCATTCAACAAACAACGTTTATTGGACACCAGTCATGTGCCAGGCTCCATGCTGCACACTGGAAGCACAACATGGGGCAAGGAAGACATAAAGCAACCCCTGTCCCCCAGCCCGACATCTGGTGGGGGAGCAGTCAGTAGAACAAGGGAGTGTAAGCATGGCATGAGTGAAGGATGACAAGGCTCTGTGTTAGCCAGGAAACCTTCGTAGAGAAGAAGGAAAAGTCATCAAAAATCTTGAGGGCAAGACAGGCTGGTGGCTGGGAAGGGTTTCCTTCTATAAGGCCAAAGGCGCAGTCTCTGTTGAGAGAGGGAACTGGATCCCGGCTAGGTTCTGGGTCTCACTTGCCAGGGTGTGTCATGGGCGTGACCCATTCTGTCCCTGAAAGAAGCACAACACCGCATGCTCAGCTGGATACAGTCTGGTTCTTCTAGCCCAGCCAAGACTGGTGGATATGTTTCAAAATAAAGTTAGGTGAGAATTGAAAAGAAACAGAAAGAAAACCCACACACAGCCCATGTTAAGCCCGAGTGAGCTAGCATCTACCAGGATTTAAGAATCCTCCCTTTGCATTTCTCAGACTTCTCACCACCTTCCAAAAAAAGGGCCACAGTCACCAAGACCCTCCTGTTGGATTAGAAGGGAGGCCTGTGAAATCAATAGCTCAATGAGACAATCAATCCCCAAACAACTGCCCTAGCAGAGATGCCCATTGTCTCCCAAGGGGACGAGGGTAGAAGGTGGCAGTCTGTTCTCTGGGGATCTGCCCACAGGTCCAAGTCCACAGAGGAAAGGCCCCCTTGGACCATGTGGCTGGCTGAAGCATGAGTCACTGCTGCCACAACAAGCAAGGACAGGTTTTCAAACTTGAGCCTGGTGGAAGGGAATATCTGCTGGGTCCTCAGAGGCAAAAAAAAAAAAAAAAAAAAAAAAGTTCTCAGAAGAATGAAAATAATGCCAAGGGGGAGCTAGAAGAAGACAGCTGCTTAGATTCTAGTTGCAGATGTATGTACCTGCCTTCTAGCCCACACACAGCCGTGGAGCACTCAGCCCTCAGAGGACCCTAGGATTGCTCCAGTCACACCAGGCCTCAACATGTTGATGAAACCTTTAGACTCACTGGACATAAATCTTGTTGCTGGGCTGCAGAGTGAAGGCCCTGGCCAGGTGGGTGGATTCTCCATTGAGGGAGGGAAAATACGTGGAAAGTTTCATTTTCATTCTTCATTGGCCGGCTCATTCCTTCCACAAGCAGTGGTGACCAGCCTACTGTGTGCCAATTTCTATTCTTGGTGCTAGAAATGCAATAGTGAAGAAGCAGACAGGGACCCCAATGTCCTGGCGAGAGACCACAAAAAAACAAGGCCATTTCTGAAAGCAGTCAAGGGCAGTGGGGCTAGCAGGGAGGATGCTAGGGTGGGGCTAGGGAGAGAGGGACGCACAGACAGGATTCAAGGAAGAGGAGGTATTTGAGCTTTTCCCTGCACGCCGGAAGTAACACATGGAGTGCCTGGGGGATGGAACCTCCCACAACACAGCACAAGCTAACAGCAGGCAAGACAAGACAAAGCAGAATGGGTGGGCTGCGGCAGGAAATGACCCACCATCCGGAAAACAGCTCCATCAGCATCTTTAGGATGCTGCTCCCTGGTCTCCCTCACCCAGAGCGTTTCCTGAATGTCAGTTTTAGCTGCCTACCTTTTCCCCGCATCCCACAGACGTTGGAAGAGTGTACAGGGAGCAGCCAAAAAGAAGCAGTACTTCCCAAAGGTATTTTGTAAAAGGGAGTGAGCAGTTCTCCTCAACCAGGCCCATGAGGGACAAAATTCTGGGGGACAATCTGGCTAACTCTAACCGGATCTCTAACTCTAACTGGATCTCTGCCATCAGTAATCCTCTCTTCCTTGTGAGCTGACACAGGTCTGACTTCATCCGGGTAACTAGTGGATGCCAGGCCTTCTTCTTGGTTGTCCCTCAATAACAGCCCCCGGACCGTCTCTCTTTGGTGGGCCGAGATGAGGCCTGCTCTTCTGTCATGTGATCAGTTCAAAGCCCCTTCAGTCTTGGGCAATATCTTGAGCTTGCCCCCTCCTCCAGGAGGGTATGGTGGGGATGGGAACAGATGATAGGCTGCCAAGGGCTCTAGAGCAGTCGATGCTTCAGACAGATCTGCGTATAACCCATCTTCTGGAGTTCCTTGTAAAATCTGCCCTAAATTCTAGTTAGTCAGAAAAACAGCAACGAAGAAATGCAAGGCTACATAAGGAGCATCACATTATTATTTTTTTAAAGCATGTCTGGCTGAGGAAGTCTCTGAAATTAGCCCGTGGGTGGGTTTTTGAGTCTCCCTCCAAAGCCTGGATTAGCCTGCTGAGTGTGGGGTGGGCAGTGATCAGCCACTTTTATTAAGCAGTGATCTGATTTTCCCAGCCTCCTTCCTTCCTGGCAGCCAAGTGGCCGAGCAGTGGTCCTCCTTTTCAAAGACGAGACCTCCTAGCCACTGGAGGTCACTAGTGAGCAGGATTTTCCAGCATCATGGCTACTTTGGTGATATGATGTCTGGTTAAGAAGGAGCTTCCAGCTCCATTTTTCTCAAAGCCAAAGAAGACATAACAACACACACACACACACACACACACACACACACACACACACTGAAGGCGATCCTTAAGGAAATTCGATGACTTCCTTCCTTTCTTGGCAAAGTTCCACCGAAGCCATGCAAGCTCCCAGTGCTTGGCACAGGGCCCTTTGGAACTCTGCTCCTGAGATGTCCCAGGCCCGCCGGTCACCTGGCGCGTCTTGGCCCAGTTCCCTTCTTCTCTCTTATGCTGTGTTCATGTGTTTGCTTTCCATTTGGCAGAAGGACAAGCGGGACACCTCCAACTTCGACAAAGAGTTCACCAGACAGCCCGTGGAACTGACTCCCACGGATAAGCTCTTCATCATGAACTTGGACCAAAATGAATTTGCCGGCTTCTCTTATACTAACCCAGAGTTTGTCATTAATGTGTAGGTAAATGCGAACCCCATTGTTGAGCCTGGGGTTGCAAGCCTCCAGGCCATGTGTATGTTGCAATTCTAGTCTTCCAGGATCCATGGCGCATAGGCTGGCATTCAACATATGGAGAGCTTCGTCTTCCAGGGCTTCTCTTTGTATGTGTAGCTTGCTAGTTTGTTTTCTACATTTGAAAATGTTTAGTTTAGAGTAAGCGCATTATCCAATAATAGAGGTACAATTTTCCAGACTTCCAGAAAACCCATCCAACGAACAGTGTCGACAAACTACTGTGTCTGATACCAACATGCTTCAGTATTTGTAATTTTTCAAGTCAGAAGCTGATGTTCTCGGTAAACGTTTTTACAGTTATTCTACAGTATCTCCTTTGAATGCTAAGCATGACTGGTATTTTTAAAAGTCGTGAGTAAGCTTTGCAGTAACTGTGAACTCTTGTCTGTTGGAGGACATTTTTTTTGTTTGTTTAAGAATTGATATGATTAAACTGAATTAATATATGCAAACTCTCTTGCCTGTGTGTTCATTTTTAAGGGGACTTCCATCTACAGATTGTAAGCAGTGGCTCCATTGGCTGAGAGTGGCTCAGTGGAGGAGTTGTGTTCCATTTGTACCAGAGTTCTAGCTAATGGATGTCATTATCAATTTTCTCAAAATAGATGTTTTGTATCAATTGCTGGGCTTTCAGATTCTCTTGTGGGGTGGGAGGCGGGAGGGTGGTGGTGGCGGGTTGGGGATCTATAGACATAAACACCAGTCCTAGAGCCTGGCACAGTAGCCTAGCGGCTAAAGTCCTTGCCTTACATGTGCTGGGATCCCATATGGGCGCCAGTTCGCATCCTGGCTGCTTCACTTCCCATCCAGCTCCCTGCCTCTGGCCCGGGAAAGCAGCACAGGATGGCTCAAGTCCTTGGGACCCTGCACCCATGAGGGAGACCCAGAAGAAATTCTAGGCTCCTGGCTTCAGATGGGCTGAGCTCTGGCCATTGCGCCTCCTGGGGGGTGCACCAGTGGATGGAAGATCTTTGTCTCTCCTTCTGTCTGTAAAAATCTGAGTTTCCCGCTCCCGCCGCAAGTGGTGAGCAGAGGAGCACGTGTTTCGCCTAGCAGTTCAGATAGCCACAGCCCATGCCTTGGTGTCTGGGGTCACTTCCCGGCTCGAGTTCCTGGCTCCAGTTTCCCCAGGAGGCTGCAGTGATGCTCACCCCATCCAACCTGACTGCTGTGGGCGTCCAGCCTGTGGACAAGCACGTGAGAGTGTGTATTCTGTCTGTCATCATCTATCTGTACCTGGCTGTCATCACAAACACCTCTCTCTCTCTGTCTCTTGGATAAACCAATACGCTCTTTTTTTTAAAAAGTCAGCAGGAGAGAAAAAGGGGTAGCATTAGAATAGAACTTTTCTGTGGTTTATGAGGCAAGTTAGCTTAACATCTCCCCCCCAACTCTCCCCCCCCCACTCAAACAAACAAACCAACAAAAATAGATGCTAGCTCTTTTCATAAAAGACATGCCCCGCAGAGACCAGGAGACCATGCGAGAGGATGCCGGATGCCTGTCAATGGCATCAGTGTGGGAAGGAGCCCCACCCTCCCCGAGGTGCACTGAGTTCCAGGGTGTGAGCCTTGTACCTCCTCTCTGAATGAAGTCATACTTCTGTTTTCTCTTCCCAAGCTATCGTAAGCCAAGCTGTAGCTCCTGGCCCTATAGCTGTTAAGCTAGTGGGTAGCAGAAAAGAGCAAATTTGTCACACTAAGTACTTTCTAAGACTTTACTGGCTTTATTCATCGGCTTCCTTCGTGGAGGAGCCTCGGTAAGCAGTCTTGGGCAGATACAGG